GCTTATGGTACACAATTGTATGTCAATCCTACAAGTATTTTGCTTTAGTTTGAACAAATGATAAACTTGAATCTTTCGCTACCCTTGAACCCATGTGGAGGGCGAAATGTTGCAGCGTTTTCAATTTTTTTTTACACAACAATTAATGATGTACGTGTTTGGTGATCTTGCAAATATTATAAAGGGCCTTGATGTTGACATACTGGGGGCTTAATGGGTTTATATGATAACAATTTTAATTAGGGGCCTTAAAGCTGAAGTGTTTAAGAATATATAAAAAATAAATATCAAAGAGTTCTGAAAATACGAGTTCCTGAGCTATCTATGATAACTCCACAATCGGCTGTTGCACCTTTCAAATGACCTTCAGCTGTTGATCCAGTTTAAATAAGCGCCACGTTTCTCGGCTGTTCTCATACAACATTTTTTCAACAATCGCACGTTATGGCACGATTATGAGGGAAACCAGCGAGCATTCCAAACAGCAGCAAACATGTCGTACGTGTCTGGTAACTTGGCAACGAAGCAAGCGAAACACCCATGTGATTCACCCACAATTTAGTGATAAACAACCAATTCAAAAAGCGCAACGCAGTTACAAAATCTGAACTTATCAATTCGTCGAAACGGAAATGCAAATCGCAAATACACATCTATGTATATACATACATACACGTATGTACATATGTATAGCTTCCACAACAATAATAATGATAATAACAGAGGCAGCAACTATGTAATTTGTTATTTGAACGGCAGCGACCAGACCGAACCGGACCGGCTCATAAAACATTAATAAATCAAAGCTGCTTTTAGACGAGATTCGCAGAAATGTTAAATGAGTTGGTTTGCTATTTAGGATCGATTCATTTGGTTATTTTGTTGGTCAACTGCTGAATTTTGTTGTTCACAGCCCATTTGCTGGCTAATGAATGCTTGAAATCCTTGTTAACACATTTCAGCCGAAAAATGCAAAGAAAGCTAGCAAGAAATTATGAATAATCGGTTGACGGGGATTTCAGATTGCGAATTTAGACGATCGACTGAACGAAGACATCGACGTCGCTGTCGCTGTCGACCAAGTTTGTTGATAAGCTTTGTAAATACAATACCTACATATACACAGATATAAATAAGTTAATAGACGAAACCGGTTTGGTGTCGTCCAGCAATAAAACCATACCGAATAAATGCCAAAGAAATGAGGCACGGCCAAAGAGAAGCCAACTCAAGTGAAGTGAAGCGAGCGACATCTCATGGCGGCAATAGAGTGAGGGGGTTTGGAGGTTACACTTTAAGAATACACACGATTCCAGTGCGTGGAGAACTACATCTTCTATTTACAAGCCAAGTGCATGGATTCCTAATCAATTTCTCACTCTCCTGCAAAGTAGTTGCAAAGTATTGTTGTTCTAAAAACAATTCAATTTTTAAAATTTAAACTATGCGTTCAAGTTTTATTACTTTCTAATGCAAATAGTAAATTTAAATTATATAAGAATGAAATTGATTTGCTTTGTAAAATAAATAAAAAAAAACTAAAATATAATATAAGCTTAAATATATAACTTTAAATTAAATATTTGCTCGTTGATACTTATGTTAACAAAACTAAAACTTAGCAACAACAAATGTTGTTTAGCTTCTAACAGTTAATCTTTTGGTTTATTTGAGGAAGTTTCGAGTTGAGTTATTAAAAGTTTAAAGTATCTTATTTTTCTTGCAGTGTAGTGGTGCAGGGGCTGGATAGGCGTTCTTGTGCTGGACAGCAAAGACAATGTCCAATGACGACGTCGACGTTTCCGTTACTTTAAGTGCGTTCTAGCGATGAAACAAGTCGACAATGTTCTTGTTGTTGGTGCTGTTGGCTGTTTCTCTGTTGTCTTCGTCACATGTTTGTATGTATGTGTGTGTGTGTGTGTGTGCGTGTGTACCAGCAGGCATTACTCATGCTAATTTCACAGACACACTCACACACACACACACACTCGGGCAGCTTGACAGTATAATGAACTACATGCTTAATGTGTAAGCCTGTCTAGTGACGGAAACAAGTTGTAGACGCCACTGCTTGGCACAGTGGGCTGAAATAAGTGCCTGCTTTTATATGCCAACTGCTTTTGTGGCTATTGTTGTTGCTGTTGCTGTTTCTGCTACTGCTGCTGTTGTTACAATTGCTTTGCAACTTTTACACGTGCCACTTGCATAAACAGCCAAATAATAAGGCCAACCATGTGGCACATGTGGGTGGCTAGTGGTGCCATAAATCTGTTACCAAAAGCTTCAGCTCAACCAGACTCAACATGCGCGGCTTTAATGAGTAACTGATTGACTGCCCGATGGACTGATGGACTGATATACTGACTGTGCAGTGACGCACGCAAAATTTTATTCGCAGGCATTTTGCAAAGGATTGACAGCAAATTAAAAGCGTGCACAATCAGACAGGTGAGTAAAAAATAGAAAAGCCGAAGCCGAAGCAAGCAACACTTTAATCCATTGGCCAGAGCCAATGAAGAGAGCATCGATGTCGTCTTAAGTTTTGCCGTTGACTGCAAATGCCGTTGAAGAAATCATGTGTGGTGGAGGAGTGTGGGGGAAGAGAGAAGTCAACAGCATTCAGTGGACAACAGGCGGCAAGAGCTCTAAGCTGGCAGCAATTTGGCAGCAGGTGAAAGTTCTGGCCAGGCACAATGATGCGGCAAATCGTGATGATTTGAAAAGAAAACATAACGCCATGGTAGTCAAGTCAATAATTATGGGAAAAGCCAACAGTAACCATTCATGTACTCGTATGCACTTCAAATATTACTGAAGGATTGCTGAATATGGTCATCTCTTAATGTTAATTGTGTACATCTCTTCTAGGCACAAACCCAACCAATCTGAATTTAATTAGTTATAAATTTGCAGAGGAAAACCCTCTTTTGAGACGATGCTCCATCCAATTCTTATCTTCGGCATTTCGTTTCAGTTTTAGATTACAATTTTCGTTCAAATTGATTTAAATTCTGAATATAACTCTTTTTACCCTGACAATTTTCATAGCCTTGATTTCCATAAATAATTTTGAAAGCTATTGGGGCTCATATCTTATCGAAGAAGCTTTATTACCGCGTGTTTAGGAATTATTCTTTAGGGCCAAAATTTGGAGAAATAGGAAATAAATAAATTGGGTAAAGACAAAATTTCTTTTTAAAATACCTTTTATATGAAAAAACATCAAAGCTGGTACTTTTGTTCAGTAATATAGAACATATTTGAGTCAAAATTAAATTGAAATGTACATTTTACTTACGAAAAAGTTCGCACCTGTTAGTTTGTATTTAAAAACTCATAACATTGTTGATTCTGCTATCAAAAGATAGCGCACTACAAGTATAGTCGCAGTTCAGGGGAGTTAACAAAAATAAGTAAAAACATAAAAGATATTTGCCAACTAACCAGCCAGTTAGCCAGTAGCGGAGCACGAACTTTTTCCCTTCTTCAAAAACTTGCGACATGGCGACCCCCACAAAGTGTGCAAGCAACGGCAGCCGTACAAACACCAACGACAACAACAACAGGAACGTATCAACAACTTGCCGTTGGCCTCCCAAGCGCATGCCACACTTCACCAAGAACAACAACAACAGCAACTGTGGCAGCAAATGCTAACGGTAATTTGAACAAGCGACTCCCAACTGAATGTCTATTTTTATATGACACAGGCCGCAGTAAGCGTCACTGCAGCGCCATCGCCATCGCCATCGCATTGTATCTTGCAGATACATTTTAAACTTATAATTTAAATACAAAGTCTTGGCATTGTTTTTTACTACCGAGTAGAAAAGAAGCAACAGCAGCAGCAGCATTTGGCTTAAATCCGTGATGTGATTATTATGGTGATGATGATGATTATGATGATAATGATGAAGGCGCTGTGCTATGTGTGTGTTGTGTTTGCCCTGCGGCAGAAATCTAAGAGAGAAATGTGTTAATGTGTGAGAAGCATATCCAAGGCGAGTTATTAGACTAGCGGGCCCAACCAATTAAAGTGTTAAACAACAACAACAAACTGAGGCGCACACAAATAATGAGGCTCTGCTCATCCGACAGAGCTAAACAATAATAAATTCCTTATTGGGAGCGTTTCAAGCATTTTGATGATAAAATTATAGGAAACTTTACGCGATAAAGGAGCAAAAACAATAAATCGTGGAATTTTCAGTCCAATACAGAAATAACAAGCCGTTTGGCATGAACATTTACAGAAAAATAGTTCTAATCATTCTAGATTTTTCAATAAAAAGCAAAGCAATTAACTGTTTATAATTTTCAAATCTTCTGCTCTACACTTCTTGATGCTGCTACATTTCAAGAGTCTGCAATTTTCAAATACGCTTCCTTTTTATTTTAGTTTCATCGTGAAAACTGTTTAAAGCATTAGAAGAACAACTTTCTAATTTGAAACATCTGCTTTTGCCGGGTGGCTGAATAATCGCACTGCACAGATCTTTTCTATCTGCAACTTACAAATTTTTAAGTGCGACGCATTCAAGCATAAAGTCTAATGATTGCTAATTATAAGCGAATAGCAACAACAACAAGTAAAGCAAAGGCAACAAAGTGGCTGTGAGATCATGATCATGAGCAGCTACAAAATATTTTATTTGGCATCGTTTTGTCTGGGATTATCTTAAAGGCATTTTGTGGAAAGAAGGTGAAAACATTTGACTTTTATTTATCTGCATGTATTTATTTATGTTTTTAGGTATATTTCCTGCATGTATTTTAAATGTCTGACAAATCGTGGTCCACCACCAGCAAGAGAGTCAACGAAGTGTTCCCGGCAGCTGCCCAAATCTTTACGCAACTCAGTCAAACAAAATACATAAATCCAACATTCAAATGCGACACTTAAAGTGTCATAAAACTGCCGGCAAATACATAAAAATGTACAAATACTTGTATATCTCTCTAATAATAATAAAACGTGGAAAATATGCCAATTTACTTACCTTATAGACTTGACCGTAGGTGCCATTGCCAACGACTTCGATGAGCTCAAAGATGCCAGCTGGATCCTGCAAAGATGAAAAATAAGATCCATGAAATTAGTATGTGTTAGGTAAAGCTATATAAATCTCTTTTGAGATACATTTACGTGAGCAGTAAAAAATTTATAAAATTTCAAGTTAAATAAATCTAAAAGTTCATTTGCAAGGGAGCGATACAACATTATGGTATTTCTTTAGCTTAAGGCCAAATTAAGTTATTTCAGCATTTATTGTGAAAAGAAACAACACGGTATTAAGGAAAATGCCGTGAAAAATCAATTTTAATGAATAAATAAAGGTTTTTATATTAGTTCAAATCAGATTTTCATTGCCAGCCAGCTTAGTTAAATGATTTTGACGAAAAGATGTTTTATGGACTGTCGAATGAAAAATTCAGTGATGGATTTAAGGAAATATGTATGCATTGTGCTTATTCTATAAATATCCATTAGTTGCAAATGAAAGTCACATCGCAACAACATTCCAAATGTTAGGGCCGGCAGACAGGCAAGCAGGCACTAAAAACAAAACCTAAAGAGCGACTGGCAAATAGGGAAACGCCCACAAACCTTTCTCAGTACAGAGTCGGGGGCAGGCAGGCAAAAATAAACAAAGAATAATATGCAAGACAAAGCAGTCGAGGACCAGACCTGGTTTGCTTTGAAAGTTTGACGACAACGAACGTTTCGATGTCAGTTCGGGCAGGCAGAGGCCGGCAAAGAGGCTGCGCACTTCACTTTTACAACAGCAGCAACAACAGCATATCCAACTACTCCAATCGTCGTTATTGTTGCTGTGTGCGTTTATGTAAACAAATTATTAAGGCATTATAACACGAATAAGACAAGGAGTTCGTAGAAGGCGGCATGTTAAAAATAAAAGGCATTTTAATACAAATCTCACTCGTACGCTCATTCTCAATATATACTATATATATACATACACACACATATATATATTTATATAAATCGAGCAGTTTGTCGGGTTCATTGACACGCAACTCACGCGACGTCATAGCATGGTACGGACATGGATATAAAACTGGGCAAGACACGTCATTTCGTATTATTTCGGGGGCTGGGGGCAAATGTCAATTAAAATAACAATCGAAATCGAAGGTACGCTCATGTTTAACAGAAATTCTCAACAGGTAACAGACTCTTTTGACAGTTTACGTTGACATGCCATGGTTGGGGTAAGATAATTAGGGGGAAATAAGAAGGGTGGGGGGCAGACAAGTGGATAGCTTTGATTTTCAACAAAATACGTGCTTTGTATTTCACTATGAATATAGATTAAGTCGGTATAACGCAAAGAAATGCACCTTTCACACAACATTTGCCTTGCATACTTTTTAGTTGTTTTCATAACGTTTACAAATTACCGTTAAGAAAACTTATTTTTAGAACTATATAGAAAATAACACAAATGCACAATACTTTTTCAAATATTTTGCAAACAAATGTCATTAAGGTGAGACAAGATATGTCTACAACAGAAAATTAACATTTCTTCCGTTTTGAAATAAAGGAATTTCTTATTCTGTAGCTTTACAAGTACATAGCAAAATGCATGCTTTAAACATTTAAACACATAAGAGCGCAAAAATTTCCCTTTACATATGTATTATGTATATTTTGATGGTTCACATCAATACTTGTAAAGAAATTGTGGGCTTATAAGAGTAGATCAGGCCTTTTAAAAATCTTCTGCTCTATTTTGTATAATTTCGCAAACTAGTAGCTGGTACTGTGAATTTAGTTTGTTGCTACCTGATAGCTTCCACATTTTTCTTATCGTTATAGCATTATACTATCAGCTTTAATCTTCTTACTCTGCTTGTTATTTGAAATTTTTCTGCTACAAGAATTCCTCGCCTATTATTATTATTTTTGCAGCTTTTAGACCACTGTGACATTACACATGACAGACCAAGCTGCTAAATACTTCAACAGCTTTGTGGCACATGCCTAAAGGTAGCATATAACAACAACAGCTACTACTACAACTCTTATAAGGTAAAAACTACTGGAACAACAACAAAAATCCCACCCCCTGCCTAAGAGTTAAGCAAATCGAACTTTGTGGCAGGCAAAGCTGCGCTGCTTGGCTTGGCTTTGTCAGTAGTTGCGGGTACTACGTACCAAGGAGGAGAGAGCAGGGGTGTCGTGTGTCGAGTACTTAGGCAGCCACAGGAATTACTACAAATAAAAGTAAAAAGACAGACGACACAAACAAAAACGAAAACCGAAGCAAACAAGCAAATGAAAAAAAAAAAAACGATGGAAGCCGCTTTAAGTAGATTTATGGCTGCCTTCAAAATACGCCGCACACCCACGCACGCCTTCCCATCCAACCAAAGCGAGCAGACGGGCGGTTGCTGCTATTGTTCTTGTTTGTGTCGCTGGTAGTTCTTGTTTGTGTTGTTGTTGTTGTTGCCGGCAAAGTGTGTCAAACACATGCAAACAGCCCAAGCATGATAAAAAGGGAGCAAACTTGCATAAATGAGCATAGGATAGGGAAAGAGAGGGGGCGCCGAAAACATAAAGTAAGTGCATTGGTGAGAGAGCAAGAGAGCGCTAGCAATTAGTACTATTTATGGCCGATTACTTCACGTTGTAAAAATCAATTGAAAATGCAAAGCGTGTTTGACATTCGACGCGCTGCTGCTGCTGCTGCTGCTGCTGCTGCTGTTGCTGACTCATTAGCGTTCATATGTTAAGCAATTTAATAGCAACAACAACACTACAACGGCAAACGTGAAACGGTAAAGTGAGCAAGCTAGCCGTTAGCTGAAAGTTCTACGCTTGCTTGTCGATTTTGTCTGGTCAACAGCAAACGGTAGAGTTGTCAAGTTGTCTGTTCCTGATTATAGATTTATGGTAATTGTGGGTATCTTAATCATTAAACCTTTTACGCGAATAATAATTCTATTGAACTTATAGACAAGGAATCGATCTGAACATACCACGATCTCAAATATCTAGGAGGAACAAGGCGTTTCATATTTTCAAAATATTTATTTTTAGATTCGGAAATTTTGGATTCATCTTTTGGTCTAAAGTTATAAAAATAATGTTACCAACAAATAGCTGAGATATTTGAAGTCTTTTTCATCATATTCATTCTGAAGTCTTTTAAACTTAATAGATCATATACTTTTTTAAACAATGTAAAGAAAGTATTTTAAATGGGTACATTAATCTCAAGAAATTCATTAAAATAGAAATTAAAATCCTAATAAAATATTGAAAAATCGAATAATTTCGTAGTACAGTTTCTCTGTATATTGAAGCTTGACAGTCCTTGACAGTGCTTTAGGTTAGTTACTTAGTTAGCTAACACTGGTCAGTAGTTGCATACATACATATATTACAGTTATCACAGCAGCAGAATACAATTTGTTGCCCACTAGCAGGAAGACAAACAGGCTGAGACAGAGACCAATCACATGGACCGGCTCCTCCCTCCACTTCGAGCTGTTTTGTTAGCCCAACTGCTGCCACATGTGCGAGTCGTTATTACCCACTGACTGAGGCTTGGTTTAGTTCGCCTCTATTTGTCTTTGACAATGTTGTTGGTGTAGTTGTTATTGTTGTTGCTATTTGTATATTTGCTCAAACAAGCACAACTAAACTAAACAACCCGTCGTAGACCAGCTCAACAACTGAAACTGCATCCAACTGCCTGGCTGCCTGCTTCATTATTACAGTTGTTGGATGCAAACTGGATTTTTGGTCTAAGGCGCACCACCACCAACGAAAATGCCTCCACCACTCAAGGCTTGCCCCAGTTTGGCGAACATATGCAAAAGGCAAAGGCAAAGGAGCGTCAACGACTGGCTCGCTCTCTGGCTGCCCGACTAACAGGAGTGACAACTGAGCGTCTCTCTCCCTCTACGCAAAAGTATGTATGTACTCGTAGCTTCAAACGCCCATGCGATTCGGCATAGTAGAAGGTTTACATTAAACGTTCGTACATACCTACATTCATATGTATATGCATACACATATTGGTTATGCAAACGTATGTACTATATGTGTGTGTTCGATTTGGAATTTTTAGCTGAGTGTCCGTTCAAACTCGAAACTACTCCCATCAGTGAAAAATAAATATAATCAAGATACTTGTATGTACATATGTAAGTGTATTACTGCGGTGGTATTATGGCATGCACTATGTATTGAAGACATCAGAGCTGACCAGAGATTCCTCGAGCAATTGATGTAACTAAGCTGAAACTATTCATTCTCATAAAAAAATTTTCGATGAATATAAAGGAAGGCTTGTCTCGTTCTAGTGGATCTATAAACTCTTTACATACCGACAGCTTTGACAAAGTGAAACAAATTGTTCATTCAAGCCTCCACATTAATGTTAGAGAGCCATTTCGTAGCCTCAACATCCCTCATGAGTATTTTCCTTTAACTTTGTTTAATATCTGTTCGACTTATTTCAAAGCAGCTGCATCTTTTTCACAAAATTTGTGAATACGTCTCTGCAATATCTATTTTGCAATATTCATGAAAATAGCTCGCCAAGCAAGACAACATTAAAAATATTTCCAGAAGGCAACCAATGAAAAATGTATTGAGTTACTACTCAATATTATTAGATGTATATTATTAATTCACAATTTCTGAAAGCTTTTTGGTGAAAATTGTAAATGACGAAGCATTTACAATACGTGTTACTTTGAGGAAGTGTATTTTTGGGAACATAAAGTCCACACTATAAAAGGGGGAAGGGGTATTGATTTAAACACTTAACTCAATATAAAAATAATGTAACTTAATTTGTAAAACTTTTTTGTGTCTAACTAGACGAACTTTTACAAAACGTTTGCACTCCTGACTGACTGCTGTCTGCTCGACTCGAACATTTAGCGTGTTATTCCAACTAGTCAAGGGCATGGCTTAAAAGAAAAAACATCAAAACTTAACGATTTTATGAGACATTTGGCGTGTAGGTAAGAAAACAAAAGAGAACCTCTAAAATGCAGTGAGTTGCAGAGTTGCGTTGACTTA